GCCGGGTCCCTCCAGCTCGCAGCCAGGGTGGGGATGGAGCCAGGGTGGCTCCCGGGCTGATGAAGGGGCTGAGGAGCCCAGGTAGGGTGAGGAGGGGGCCAGGCTGGCCACATTAGCTACATCCAAAAAAGTGGGGAGGGGGCGAGCTTGGCCACATTAGCTCCATCTTGCAGCATGGGGAGATGGCAAGCAGGCAGCACACGCAAGCTGGTGGTATCCTGGGCAAATCCCCCACCACCCTAGGGCTGGACTGCCAGTGTGGAGCTGGGACCCTGGCACAGCTTGGTCTGCGGCTCCTGTCACAGTGGGACCTGGGTGGGAGCGGGCAGAGATGCCGCTGTAGCCCCTGGGGGTGGGGGTACCCACAGAGAGGTGGGATCCCACCATCTGGGACGTGCCCATGTTTGCTTTCACCCCTGGGGCTGGGCCGGGAGGGAGGCGCCAGCCCCGCTGCCCACCCTCCTCCTGCACTGACCATCGGCTCTTGCAGACTCCTGCGTGGGCCACTGCGAGGATGGCTTCGACGCGCAGCGCAAGTGCCAGTGCGACACCCTCTGCATGTACTACCAGAGCTGCTGCAGCGACTACTCCACTGCCTGCAAAGCCAAAGGTACTGGTCCCGTGGCCGCCCTCCCAATCAGGGCAGGGGCTTGCTGGGGTGACCATGGGTGCCTGACACTGCGGGGGCTCAGAGGCGTCCGTGCTGGGTCAAGTCTGCACCCACCCGTGTCCGCAGGGTGAAGTCAGCGCCGGGATTTGGTGCTTGGGGTGCTGCAGCACCAGGGGTTTTCAGCAGCCGGCTGGGTGCCCCACGGCGTGGGGCTCCGGGGGTCTGTGCCAATCCCTATTGTCTGGGAGCAAGTGGCTCCCGCACCCAGAACCCATGGGAGACGCCCAGGGCTCCGTGGGACCAACCTGCTCCCTCCCACAGTGACCCGGGGAGATGTGTTTGCCTTGCCGGAGGATGACTACCTCGACTACAACCTCACTGACAACTTCGTCACAGTAGAAGGCACCGAGGCACCCCCCACAGAACTGCCCACGTCCCTGTTGCCAGCGCAGCCCACGCTGGAGAGCAAGCCGGGCTCCAAAGAGACGCTGACAGAGGCACCTGTGGAGGAAGTGCCCAGCACCACGCTGGATGGGTTCGAGGAGCAGGACCCCAAGGAGGAGCCCGAGGAGCTGTGCAGCAGGAAACCTTTTGACGCTTTCACTGACCTGAAGAATGGCTCCCTTTATGCTTTCCGAGGTACCTCTGGGGCCTTTCCCGGGCGCACGGGACACGCTGCCGCACTGTCACCCTGCACTGGTGGCCATGGTCCCTCCTGCTGCTCCCACCTCCCCTCTCTCCCCAGGGAAGTACTTCTACGAGCTGGATGAGACGAGCGTGCGGCCTGGCTACCCCAAGCTCATCAGTGATGTCTGGGGCATCGAGGGCCCCATCGATGCCGCCTTCACGCGCATCAACTGCCAGGGCAAGACTTACTTGTTCAAGGTGGGCAGGAGCCTGGCTGCAGGGCTGGGGGTGCTCCCGGGGCAGCTGGCACAGCCCCCCAACCCACCCTGTCCCCACCCTGCCACCCTCTGTGCACAAACACACACAGTGGCTGCCCGATATCCCCAAACCCCTGCGGCTGGCTAGGGCCCCCGAC